AAGTTAATTAGTTTCAACTAAGAAAAACTAAATAAATAAAATAATAAATATTTTATTTAAAACTTTTATCTTCTTTACCCGAAATTATTTGCTAATCCAAAATCAATTTGTTGATAACCTATTCATTCTGATCCACACAAAATAAAAATAATTGTTATCACCAATTAAAAATATGCTCTCCCAAAGTTTAATCGGTGACAATTGCTTCCAATTGTAAAATCTGCAATTTTCTGTGTCAATGATATAACCTATGGAGGTGCTAAAATTCTAGAATTGTTAATCCTTGATCATTTCAATGATCACAACTTGCAACAATTACCTCAAATTCACTCCCAATTTGTAGAATATTCCAATCAACAACAACAATGCTTCATAGTAATGGTACTCTGTTGAATACCAAATGTGACCTCATAAACAATATTTGTAATGAATATGCAATCCAATGGCCAATGGACATTAAAAAAGTAAAATTTTAGGAACTGTATCATATAGTCTTATTTTAAACTTACTATTTGATCCTAACAATATAGGAGGCTTGGTCAAATACTAAGCCTAGCAGCACATTCATATATGGGGCATGGTCAATGGGAAAGGGGTAATAGGGTTTTTATTCATGAATATCATGAATATCATTAAGGGGATTGCACACTATTAAAACAGCAAAAAATCCCTTAAAAACATGAGTTGATCACTTGATTCTAATGGTGTGTGACCCCCTATGATATTCATGAACCCTAAGGGTAAACGTCAAAATCATGATTTTGAGAAAATCGAAAATACCTCAAAATTTTATTAAGCAAAATGGGTATTGTTCTTAAGCTAAAATTGTTCCTTGTGATGAGTTACATATATATGTGGCATCGACTCAAAATCGTGTTTTTGACGTTTACCCCTTTTCCATTGACCATTCCCATATCCCATATAGTAAACTGCCATAATTTTATATTGAAAATCATGGCCAAAATATAAACTTTGTGTTCTTCGCAATGTTAAAATAAACCAAATCACAAATCATTTTGGTATTTACTCACCACACACCATCAAGGCCTGACAACTATCCCACAATCAACATTAAAGCACCACCACCTACCTATTCATTCTGCTGTTTGTATCCATCACATATTCAACAAAATCTGCCAGGTAGTTGGAAGTCTTCTTATTACAAAAGAAGAAATGGGTAATGAACGATCATGTGTTTGTTAGCTTGCCCCTATTTACCATATTCTTCAATGCTTTGAGAAGCATCTTCACATGCATGGAGTTCGTCTGTTTGATCTGGTGAGTTTTTTAATAATTTTTTTACATTTATTTTTAAAAATGATAGTATTTTCATTTTTGATATTAACCTTGTATCACTGCCATCATCATTCATTCATCATTCATTTGTTTGTTTGTTCATTTGTTCATTTGTTCATTCATTCATAGGTTCCTCAATTTTCCTTCACTACCTGTCATATACCAATTGATACAGATGCTCTATATGACATTATTTCTGAAGCTGGTCTCAATAATGGTATGGACAAGATGCAATTTGGTGATGAAGCATTAGTTCAATGGTCACGTTTTTTCAAAGTTGAACAACTTGGTGATAATTTTGGCTGCTATATTGAAACAGATGGGGTTTCTGTTAATATAATATAAAAAAGCCAATTCATAATAATAATAATAATGACAATGACAACAGCAATAAAAATTTTTGGAATTTAGATCTAACTGGGAAAAAGGCTGTTGGTTTAGACCCAGAAAGGCATGACCTTTTTGTTTCAGCTGACACTAATGACAATGCTCAACCAAAGAATATTATTATTTAGCTAATTTTACCAGAAACAGGAAGAAATGACAAAATGGTCGGATAAGGTATATTATACATAATGATACATTATTACCATTTATATTACTTATTTTATATACATTATTAACTTTTTTCAAATCTTTAATTTGCCAAATTCCTACTTCAAAAACATCATCAAAAGATAACTTTAAGAATTGTTTATAATTTATACCCTCTAATTATCAAACCTTCAAAGAGTTTTTTAGTGCAGCCATTTTTGTTCTTTAAAATTTGACAATTATTGTGGAAAACAGTCAGCCCTTTCTGTTTTTGTTTTGTCATATCACTGGAAATCCACATAATGTTTTTGATCCTGGTGTTGTTGTTGCATTTGGTAGTGGAGGATTCTCATCATCATCAAAATATCATGCATCAGGTCCTAAGAAAGCTTTATATCAGAAATGTCATCACAGTTGCCTGACATTTTTAATAAATGAAGCCTATACAAGTCAGGTATATTTATCTATTTATAATTGAAATGTTGAAA